GGGAGAAAGATGAGGCGTTCTGCTCCCGTAAAGATTTACAGCCTTGGAAACCCTGTGCAGGGTCACTATGAGTCGGAACCGACTCCACGGTACTTACCAACAACAACAACAAATATATATATATATGTTGTTAGGTGCCATCACATCGGTTATGACCCATAGCAGCATTGTATAGGGTTTCCAAATGCATTAACCCACAGAACCACACCAGGAGTCATATATATATAAAGGGCACTTTAAAGAATTCAAGAATTTCCTTCTCACTTGGGGTCTTCAGTTCAAAACTTAATATTTCTTACATATTAAACTGTCATCTAAAACAGTATTGTAGTTTTGTAGTTTGAAGAGACAAATGAAAGTCTGTGGGCAGAAGTCAACAATGAGATTATAAATTAGACATTTTTAATTAGTGAATGAGTAACACTGCTTTGCCACCTAAAGATCACACCTCAAATATAAAATCATATTATGTTCACAGAAGTATGTTTTATAACTTGGCAAATATGATTACTTTGAAGAAGTAAATAAAGCCACCACTATGGCAGAGAGAGGGAGTAAGTGGGGAAGTTAAGTCATTAGCCTGAGGTCAGTGAAGACATTTTTATCACACCTCTTGGCAATTCAGAAGTGGCTCAACTCATTCACTGGAATTCGCATACCAGCAAATAGCATCAATTAAGTTTCCTTTCCCAATTATATTAACTGTGGATACTAACGAATTAGTTAATTCTACTGACTTCAACTGACTACAGTTCAATACACTGAATTGTATTGTAAAGAACTAAATTACAAGGGCAGTGCACTTCCTGGCTTTACAACAATATTTAGATCAAGCCAAACCTTTCTTTTGCCCATTGGAGATCCCCAGTACAGCAGTTTCAAACTAGCTGAGCAAAAGTATTTTAAAGCATTAAAGGAACTAAGAACCTTTAAACAGGCTGTGGTATCAGAGCTGCCTTTTTAATTATTCATTTCATCACTGTGGGGGACTAAACCATTCCACAGTATGCGAGAATATCATATGGAGATTGTTTTTGTTTTTTCCTTTTTATTTGCCAAAATACCAACAAATTGGCATAGATTGTTCAATTACAGTAGATTCTTATTTTTATTTACTCGACTTCAAATGAAGAAGAAAATGACAAATGGGTATCCCTACATAACGAATCTTGCTTTGGTTAGAATCCTTTGCTTTTAAAAACCAGCAATTAAGAGTTTACAAGGACAACAACAAAGAAAAGCTAAAAATGTATCCACAGTTAAAGGGTGGTCCCTATAAATGTCATTCTTTACCATTAGGATGGTAGAAACTAGTCATTTGGATGGCTTTCTGGATGTAATTAAGCAAACAGATATACTAAGCTTACAAAACACTCTCTGAGAGTTCATTCTGCTTAAGGAATGAAAAAGCGACTCCTTTCAAATACCAGAAATAGTTCTACATGAAAATTACACAACCAATACTGAAAATTGAATTCTTTATCATTGAGATTCATTTGCAAAGGAAAAACAAAACCCAACGAAACTTTTCTTTATTAAGAATTGTACTTGTTGTGTGCTGTGGAGTTGGTTCTGACTCATAGCAACCCTGTACAGGATTTCTGAGGCTGTAAATCTCTACGTGAGCAGAAAGCCTCACCTTTCTCCTATAGAACAGCTGGTAGTTTTGAACTGCTGACCCTAAGGTTAGCAGCCCGACTCGTAACCACTATGCTCCCAGAAGAATTGTACTTAGATGCCCATTATCTTTGGTATTTTCTCACAATTTTTCAAGGCTTGAAAATTTAAGTAAACTGATTGCAATCAACCATAATTTAGGCTGCAGGATTATCACTGAGTTAACTTTGTGCCAGAAAAGGCAAATTCCTTCCAATGACAAACTGATTTCATGTTTTATGGGTAATTTTCCTCCCAAACATCAATAAATTGTTACCTTACAAGAGATTTTCAAAAACCTGACTCCACATTAGTAAGTCCTATACAATACTTTAATTTGTGGGGGTTCAAAGTCAATGAAGCGGAAATATCTATTGAATTTTGATCAACCGAACTAAAATATCTTCACTGGATTATCAACTGTATATAAATGTGTACTTCAGCCAAATGCAAGCATGAGAATTTGAGCTGGAAATGTCACACACTCAGCTACAGTTTGAAGGAACCCAATTCATAATGCATTTTATAAATAGTTAATGACTTCTATACATAAGCTAACCAGGCAAATCAAGAAATTGTCAACATTTTTAGACTTAGTTGTCAGTTACCACTGTCTAGCGGTGCTTTCTGTGACTCCTGGAGATGACAGAGGCTCGGTGTGGTTTGTAATCTACTGCAATTTCTGGTCTGTACCATAAAGATGGAAAAGCTTCAACTGACAATATTTGCCACACACAGAAACACCGTTACATGTGAGGGTAGTCCTCCCTTTTAATTGTGTGTGTGTAAAACTTATTCTTCCCAATTTATATGCTCAGGTGTATCAGACAGACCATATATGAACTATAATAAATATGAACCTATGACAAATTAACCACTAATGTTTATCCTTAGGAAGCTATATACAGAAAATTTCAACTGCTACTTTAAACTGATGACAAAGGTGAGTGTTTGGTTAGGAAGGTGAGAATTTCAGATTCAAAGCAGTTTTCATCTGGTATATGAACGGGACTTTTGCCTATTGACTTGCTGGCTTTTCTTGAGGCCAAATTCAAACACATACACTTGTTCACTTTGTTTGGAAATTTGGCTTGAAAGAATCGGTCTACTTGACCCAAACCCTAAGATTTCCTGATTGTACTGAGTGGAAGGACAGGCACTACGAAATAAGAAACAAAACGAATTAGCTTAGCTTAAACCAATTAGGAACTGTGATCTGTGGTAACACCTCCTGTATGATTCTACCTGGGAAATAAGGGTATATATGTAACCAGAACTCAGAGTTTACAATTTAGCATAAGCATAACAATGAAGTTGGTTTATTACTAAAGCGTATATGAGAATTTAATTTCCATGGCGTGCACATGGCAAAGCAATTGCTTAAATTGCCTCACCTGGGAATTTAATACAATGTTATCATCAGACCAGCCACATTGTAAATAGATTGATAATGCTTCCCATGTGCTGCAGTCTGTTGCATATGAATTAAGTAATGATCTGGTATTACAATAAAATCAGCTAGTTCCCACACCTGGCAGACAGGATATTTCACTAAATTAATACTCATACAACTACATCACAA